AGGTCTGCTGTTACGGGTCTCGTATACTGGGTGTCACAGATTTTGAAACAAAGGTTCCACTACTAAAATAAAGCTTAAAAATCAGAAGATAAAATTATTTTAAAGATATTCTCCAGCTCTAAAATTGTATGCTTCTGGTCTATCAAACCAAACCCTCATAATTGCTATCATATTTATATCAAATTTCCATTAAATTTCCCGAGACAGCATCTTACCTCTAGGTCAAGATCCTGAGGTTCCATTTCAGAAAGTGATAGCACAGCAATTTTGGTAACTTTACAGACCTCATGGTCTCCTGGAAGTTTTCCCACCAGCGCTTTCTGCCGAATTAAAATAAGCCACCATGGAAGATCTGAAAGAGAAAAGTCATATTAATGTCTAGTATCTAGAAAGTGCTACTGTACTGACAAGCTGAAGGTGAATATTATAACAACCACACAACAACAACAAAAATGTGCATGAGATATAACCCTTTAAAGTAAAGCACACAACAAAGTATAACCTTAACCATGTGAAAAGATGTTCAATCTCTCATAATTAAAGTGATACCACTCTCACCCATCAGATTGGGGAAAATAAAGTACAACAGCACATTTGCTGGCAAGGCTGTGGGGACACAGGCACTCACTCATACAGCGCTGGTGGGACTACAAACACATACAACTTTTCTGGGGGAAAACTTAGTGATACCTAACATATGCACTTACCTTTTAACCTAGCAATCCCACTCTTGTGAATTTACCCCGAAGATGCACAAGAATGCACAAACATATACACTCAAGTCTATTCATTGCAGCAGTTTGCAATTGCAAAATACTGAAAACGACTGCCCACACATATGAAAACGGTTGAATAAACTATGGCACATGCACTCAATGGAGTACTATGCAGTTGTACATAAGAATTAGAAATGTGCTATGAACTGATAAGAAATGATTCCTGGATATATTAAGTGGATAAACTGGATAGATTAATGCATATATAATAAGGATATAATATAATCATATAGTAAGATATATTATTATAACAAAGTCCAAAAGAGTATGGAGAGTGTGCCACTCATTATGTAAGAAGAAATATGCATATATCTGCTCACTTGTCATAAAAAGAAGAGGCAAGATAAATTAGAAATTAATGAGAATGGTCACGTACAGGGGGTAGGCGGAAATAGGACGGAAGAAGGGGGGAATGGGAAGATAAAACAACAGATCAGGGAAATGAGTCCAGAGAATGCCCTTTCGTATAATTGTGATTCTTAGAACCATGGTAATGTTTCACTTTTCCTCAAAAATAAATAGTTCAAATCAACCAGAATGTGGGGCAAAGGCCAAACGAAATGCAAATAGTAATCCAACTCTGCTACAAATAGAAAATATCACCACACTGTAGATAGGGAAGAAAAAACTAAGTAACTTGGGAAAATAGTATTTTGTAAGGATAAAGACACAAAAGACTGTACACAATATTGTAGTCTTGTTAGTGAATGTTTTTAAGGACGGTATGGGTCAGCAATTCCAAAACTACTTTATGTGTACATGAAAACAGAGAAAAACAGTAAACATATTGAGAAGGGGGAGGACGGGAAGAAGATGGTAAAACAAAAGAAATCTTAAATAAATACATGAGACAAAGAAGAAAACACCCAGAGGCCCCAAAGTTATCCTTCCAATCCAGTTTTTTACTTCAGAAGATTTTTAATTAAATGAGAAATAGTCTATGAAAGACAGCATGCAAAAGCATTTTTTCAGTTTAAAAAAACAATGCTGTACTACTTAATTAGCACCTAAAATAAAAATAATTGAAATAGCGTTTCAGGAATTTATTATAGAAAAATAACATAATAGGTATGTATTTTCCATATGAAAAAAAATTGTAAGAGCTATATGTAATATTTCAATTTCAGCCTCCCCCCCACCTTTCCCCACCCCCACCTCCCAGATATTAATCAAGTCTCATTTTAGGGATAGTGTTTTGAAGGCGTGCTTTAGACATTTCATAAATGCAAGAGTTTGGGAGCGTTTTGTAATTCTTTATAAAGCAGGGTGGAAATTTACTGCAAAGTTTCAAGGGTTTTACAGGCCATTTCATTATTCATTATCATTAAACATTAATAAAGGACCTACCATATGCTGGGAAGTGTGTCAGGCATGGATCAAAGTTACCAAGCACCCAACACATAATAAACCTACCACATAATAAAGCACATAATGCATAATATACTGTTGAATGTCAGTGCATTTTGTTGAATAAAAGGAAATCCTTACTGCAGATCTCTTAACCTCGCAGGAGTAATTTCTGTGAGGTGAAGAACAATTTAGAGCGTTGGCAGATGACCAGACAAGCCAGAACAGAAAGCTCTCTTCCAAGTTTATGCCTTGTTGCTGCAGTTGGCTTTGGATTCATTTTATGTTAACATTGTGAATTGTGACCTTAATAAATTACAGCAATGACAAACACGATTTGTATAACCAAATGTAATAAATGCCTTTCCAATAAATCATCTAATGGTATGCCAAAACATAAAATATTAACTTTCAAACACAGAGGTTTTACTGTATACATAAACTCACTTGGGAAAACAGAAGGCATCCCTTTTTCCACAAAAACACTGGTATTGTCAATATTGAAATTCAACTTATGAACTCAAGTACATTTTAAAATAAAATATGCATATTTTTAGAGTTTAGAGTTTAGTTTTAGAGTTTAGCTACTCATATAGCATGAATCTGAAAAATTGAGGTGCTTCTTTTAAAAAACTATTACAGACTGAAGTTCAATATACCTGGGGAGTTATGATAAAGATTAAATCTGAGAAAATATAATATAAATGATCTCAAACAA